TGTGTGAAACCCGCCACCCCAAAAACCTGCAGTGTCTTGTGTCCGGACCTCTAGGCCCTGTCCAGTGGGGTGAAACGACACTGAAAAATCACCCCGTTATTTTTCAAGGGGAGGCCAGGACCCGAAAAGCGTCCTGGGCCGCCCCTTTTTTTTTCCGATTTTTGGCCTGGGGCCTCCATCTGGACATCACAGATCGGACACCAGACCCGGACATGTTGTTCTGGACTGTCTGGAACCCGGTCCGGATGTCCGGTCGGTTACCATGATTTTTTTTGTTCACTTTACTTTCTCATTTTAACCAGTCGAGTTCATAGACAAGTCGCATGTTGTTTTCTTCAGAAGCAGCAAAATTCAGGAAACACTACAATACAATGGCAAAAGAAAAGAGATTTTCACATGACCATAACATCTATCAGATGCCACATAAGTATGACATAGAACCAAACACCATTTGCAGCAGCAGGACATATGTCCACGAGTTCCTTAGGTGAGAAGGAAAACCTTAATTCCCACGATAGCAAGTAGTATGAGTCCTCGGTCTGGAATATCCGTTGATCCTTCATTCCATTCTGAAGAGAGGACGTCTCTATAACTCAGGCTGAGTGTTCGCAACGCATTGGCCGCAAAGGTGTCGATGGTACCCTGAAGTTCCGAAAACTGCATATTTGAGAGAAAGTTCAGACAGAAGAACCGAGCACATTTTGTATTCAGTCGGTCATTAACTGGGATTCTAGAATTCCATAAGCCCATGAAACCTCTTCCACTAGGTTTGTCGTTTCGCAATGATCCCACACTCATACACTACTTTCACAACATCATGAGTTCATGCTTCATCACACAAAAAGTTTCAAACACACGAGACGATATGAGATGATATGCGAACACTGGATTGCTTGAAAATTGAAGTCTTATACAACAAGTCTTATTCATGTACATTTGGATGGCTATGGTGCCAAACAACTACCACAGGTTTCTCTCTCTCTCTCTCTCTCTCTCTCTCTCTCTCTCTCTTGGCGCCTGTGCGCCTACACACTTCTCAGCCGATACTCTATCCCCAGCAACTATTCACACGCACGCTACTCTGGATCTCCCCGGATGCCCCACACACACTCACACACTTCACGCTACAACCTATCTCTAATCTGTGGCAGCTATGGCCGCCTTCTACTTCCTAGCTACTAGTGACTATGGCCGCTTCATCTCCCTCACAGCCCACTTCTCCCTCGGGCACCTGCAGACCTCCTTGCACAAGACGCTCAGGCAGCGCTTCTGCACGGCTCACAGGCAGAATGAATGAATGACTGGACGCTGCCTCTTGATTTATACTTCGGATGGCTGCTGGTCTGCTACTTTCCACCGGGCCCAGGGTGCACACAGTCCCACATGGTACTTACTACTTGCTGACTGGACAAAGTGTGACTGGGACTGGGTACTGCTGACTCGGCAAGGTTGGACTACCCATTTGCCCACTTGCCTCTAGACTGACCTTGAGGACACTTCGAAACGCCACTTCCGGAAGTCTGTAGACTTGGCCTTTCATGAGTGTAGCAGCTACGACCTTGACCTTTCAGGACTGTAGCACCTACGACTTTTACACAGCTAAATCCCCTACTTGACAGACCTACGGATGAAGACCCGACGGCCACACTAGCCTACAACAGACAACAGGTGACTACCAAGACACAGGTCGTGGGCTCAAACACATAGGGGTCGACTTGGTACTGTACACGGGTGAGGGCAAGGTTTAGGGATCGAGCCCTGGGATCTGCATCTGCTACCATAAAGGTAAAAACCGGTTTACTCCCGCCGGCCTAAATTCGAGGTCCTCCGAGAATATTTCAGTCCAAGATAGGACCTTTGCCTTTCTTATCTCTCTCATAGGCTCGGACTATGTCAGGAGCAGTCTCTAGAAGTTCCATTCGGGTAAACCAGCGGTCGTCCTCCGGTTCGTGATATGTAAATCTGACTTTATACTGTTTCTGCGGACAACCTCTTCCTCCAGTTCTAAATACATCTTCGTCTATAATACGGTCCATGTCGTACCTACCATCCATGTCGGGAGGAATCATCGATCTCCTCGGTGGGAATTGTTGACTTGTTGTGCAAGGTAACAACTTTGACGCGTGGAAAACTGGGTAAGTATGGAGGTGTGCTGGAATCTCTACGGTATAGGACGGCCCATCCTCTCCGTCCTTGACTTCTAAAACTCGCCACGGTCCTCTGTACGTAGGCAACAGTTTTTGCGAGATGTTTTCCTCAGGAGCAAACTCTTTGGACTTGACCCAGACTAAGTCGCCTACTTGAACTGAGATGGGCGATGGTGCTTATTAGCTTGCTCTGTCATCTTATGTTGGGCCTTCCTGAGGTTCTCTATTACTGTAGCAATCTCTTTCTCATGCTGTAGCACAAACTCCCTAGTACCGGGCGGTAGCCTCTGCATCTGATCCCGGTTGAGTCCCTCAAATAGTCTGCGCGGTCTAAAGGACTTATGCAGTTCGTTGGGAGTGCGGCAAGTTGCTAAGTGGACACTGTTGTTGTGCACGCAGGCTACCTTTGGGAGCATCTCGTCCCAGTTAACTAGATTGGGTCATATGTAACGCGCACGAGGCTGAGGGAGAGCCGAGGGAGAGGAGAGAGAGAGGGAGAGAGTGAGAGCACACACACACACACACTCACTCAACACGACTGAGGGTCGGACGCAGACACAGTGGCAAGGGCACAAAGTCGAAGTCTTGGATTCCCGAATGCCAAAACAGCAAGTCACACGGAAACTGGTACGAGACTGGTCCCCGTACCGTACGGGGAGCCGGTATAAGTACCAGTGGCACGTACGGTACCAGGGGCATTTCTGCAAAGTCCCCGAGGGCAGAACTGAAAAATGCGGTATTTGAAAGTGGCGCCCGAATTGCAGCATGGCGCCAGTTGTCCAAAATCCTACAGTACCGAAGGAGGGGTTTGGAAAAAGGGTGCCAGGCCAAAAACGGGATGCAGCCGAACAACAAAAAGGTAGACCAGGGATCGAGCCCTGGCGGAGTCCGTAACACTATCCCCTCCCTCTAGAAGGCAACGTCCCGGCTGCCAAAAATCATGAAGCAATGCTGAAATCTGTGAAGGGCGGGATGGGGCCGATCACTGATTAACAAGTCGAAAGGGAAGAGGGGTATAAGTGGGTGGCATGGGCTGCGGGAGTAAGAGGGAACAGGGTTTGGTACCGGTGAACAGAGTTGTCCTACTGATGAACTAGGGGGCGTTGCAGGGAGCAGGGTAGTCCTACAAATGAACTAAAGGGACGACAGGGTTTTCTATAGGTTAAGGGGCAACAGAGTTCAGGGAACAGGGAACTTCTATTGATGTTCTACTGGGTAAGAGGAACAATGGTTAGGGAAACAGGGATCTGCTAATGATGTTCTACAGGGTTGTCAAAGTCAAGAAAAAATAAAAATGAAAATGTTTGTTCAGGATGCAAGGGCTGGTGTGTCCGACGGAGTCGGACGCAGAATCTTATGTAGGAACAGTATCTTGAAAGGGGGTCTGCAGCGGTCTTGATCAGGTCTTTGGAGTAGGTGGTAGAAGCGGTCTTCAGCAGCTGCGATAGGTAGAAGTCCAAGAAGCGTAGTAGTAGTTCAAGTGTCAAAGTCCAAGTGCTAGGGTGCGTCCGGTACACGAACTGCAATGAGGTCTGATCTGGAAGCAAGGAAGTCGCAGACTGATGCAAAGATCCATGTCACAAGTTGCTGCTCCAGTAAGTTCGCGAGTCGGGATGCCGGCCGATGAAACAGCAAGGTGGCCAAACCAGCTGCATAATCTCCATGAACAGTGAGGCAGCAGGCCATCGTCCTCGTGCGCTTGCCATTAGATCCTTTATCGCCGGCGTCACGCAGGTTCACAAGCATTGGACAAGAGAGACAAGGTAGTGGAGAGGACAGATGGGACAAGGCTAGGCGAGGGCAAGGGCAGATCAGACATCAGGAATGAGGGTCAAGGGGAGGGGGGACTGGGTTCAAGGGTGTGTGTAGAGCGGGGTTGCGAGGTTGTAGCAGGATTTATGTCATAGTTATAAAGGTATCTAGGACATAGGATTAGCACGACCACAGGCGCGGACAAGTTTCATGGCGTTCTTCAGATTAGAGAGAGGTTCCCATGTAGATTCTTCGTCGGGGTATCCGGTCCATTTGACTTTGTATTCAGTGATTGGTTCCGAATGATCAAATACCTGAGTGGTTCGTCGGCCGATAATGGTTTCGACAACGAATTCAGGGCCTGTGGGCAGCATGATTGGTGGAGGTCTAGGATATGGGCGGTCGGCGAACTGGGGCGGGGATTCATGGTATTTTTTTAGGTACTCGACATGGACGAATGGGTGCACACGACTCATGTCAGGGGGAAGTTGGAGTTTGTAGTTGACGGGGGAGGTTTGTTCAATGATGGGGAAGGGACCGAGTCATTTGTTGGAGAGTTTCTTGGACAAGCCGTGTTCAGGTTCAAAGCGTTTGGCGGAGAGCCAGACTTTGTCCCCTACTTTGAATGACACGTCGCGTCTATGTTTGTTAGTCTTGTTRGCTTGTTGTTCTTGGGTTCGTTCAATGGCTTCGGAGGCTTCTCTCAGGAGTCTGTTCATTGTTGCTACCCATTCATTGAGAGAGGGGCAGGGGTTGGATGGGTTAAGCTGTGAAGGAAGCAAGAAGTCAGAGGGCAAGCGAGGGTGGTAGCCAAGGTCGAGGTAGAATGGAGACATGCCGGTGGAAGGGCAAACGGCGTTGTTGTAGGCAATCTCGGCAACTGTGAGCAACTGATCCCAATCGTGTTGGTGAGGATGACAATACTTCCGCAGGATTCTTTGGAGAGTATCTTTCATCTTCTCTGTTTATCCATCGGTCTGTGGATGGAATGCAGTGCTATACTTGAGCGTGGTTACGTAGTCCGTGAAGAGGTGTTTCCAGAATTGTGAGAGAAAGCGAGGGTCACGGTCACTGGTGATGTTCTCGGGAAGGTCGTGATGCCGAGCAACGTGGTCGAAGAAGAGTGTGGCGACGTCTTTGGCATTGTGCAAGGTCGTGCAACGGATGAAGTGGGCACGTTTGGTCAAGCGGCAGACAATGACGTAGAGGCAATCATGCCCGCGGTCGGTCTTGGGGAGGCCGCACACGAAGTCCATGGAGATGGACTGCCACCGGTGAGTTGGGATGGGCAATGATTGGAGCTTGCCGGGTTAGGCCCGGTTCGAGGGGTTGACAGCTTGACATGTGGGCCATGAGCGAATGTATGCTTTGCTTTGACATCGGCGAGCGGGGAAGGCCAGTGGAAGTAGCAGGAGATGGTGTCGAAGGTTTTTTGGAAACCGAGGTGTCCTGTGGTCTTGGCGTCGTGGTGCTCGGCCAAGAGTTGAGTACGGAGACCACGTGCGTCGGGGATGCAAAGTCGGCGAGTGCCTTTGGTATCGATGTAGAGAAGGTTGTCGTGAAGGGAGTAGTCGGGGACTGGGTCAAGATCGCGGAGCTTGTTGTAGATGGTGGCGAAGTCTGGGCAAGAGAGGTAGCCTTGGGTGTATCAGCGATGGAGTGATGGGAGGAGTTGGATATGAGTCATGGCGGCGTAGACTTCCTCGAGGGCCTTGTGGTCGGGTCGTCGAGAGAGGGCATCCGCAACTTGGTTGCTTT